AGAGGCTGGGGGATGAGTGGATCCAGAGCAGTCCTGACTGGGGGTGCTGGTGGATGAAAAACTGAACATGAGCCAGCAATGTGCCCTCGCAGCCCAGAAAGCCAACTGCATCCTGGGCTGCATCAAGAGAATCACGGCCGGCAGGTCAAGGGAGGTGATTCTCCCCCTCTTCTCTGCTCTGGTGAGACCCCACCTGCAGTGCTGCGTCCAGCTCTGGGGCCCCCAGCACAAGAAAGACGTGAACCTGTTGGAGCAGGTCCGGAGGGGGGCCACCAAGATGCTCAGGGGGCTGGAGCACCTCCCCTGTGAGGACAGGCTGAGAGAGTTGGGTTTGTTCAGCCTGGAGAAGAGAGGGCTCCAGGGAGACCTTATAGCGGCCTTCCAGTCCTTCAAGGGGGCCTGCAGGAAAGGTGGGGAGGGACTCTTGATCAGGGAGGGTAGTGATAGGACGAGGGGTGATGGTTTCAAACTGAAAGAGGGGAGATTTAGATTAGATATTAGGAAGAAGCTCTTTCCTGTGAGGGTGATGAGGCACTGGCACAGGTTGCCCAGAGAAGCTGTGGCTGCCCCCTCCCTGGCAGTGTTCAAAGCCAGGCTGGATGGGGCTGGGAGCAACCTGGTCTAGTGGAAGGTGTCCCTGCCCATGGCAGGGGGGTTGGACTAGCAGATCTTCAAGGTCCCTTCCAACCCAAACCACGCTATGATTCTATTTGCTGGAAGATACTTACGAAGTGAATGATTTCATGATTCCCAAGTGTGTTGACCATTGAAACAAATGGAAAAGCAAACAAACAGTTTGCCTTAATATATAGACAGGACATTTTAATATCCACGTGACAAAAATGTAATGCCATGAGGCATAAGGTTAAAACAGAAGCTAGCATCTGGGGCTGCACACAGTACAAGAAATGAGTGCAAAGCTTTACTGAAGTGGATGTGACAGAAGTAACACAGCTTCATGACTACTAATCAGGTACACAGAGAAAATACACAGTTGAGTCAGACACAAGAAATTGTAGTAATTTCAAGCATTCTATAACTTTGCCGTAACTTTTTTGGAGCGCAGGAGATTTAGAAAAGCACCAAAATTTTGAAAGACTGCAAAACATTCAAACATTCAATGACTAACAGGCAATAAATGTGTGGTGTGAAAAAGATATGGATGACTACTATTGCATTCAGTGAAGAGCTTCATGATTTCTCAACAGTGTAGTGCATATGTTTAGGACACCTCATACTAATGAAGTCCTTGAACTAATGCACAGCAGATGTACTGGAACAGTACAACTTACTGACTTATACCTTCAGATCCCTTGTTTAAATCTATGACCTGTAATTAGTAATTGAATTATCACTACTTTATCACACTGGGCTTGTTTAAAATAAGATACATAGTCTGGTTTAAATCTCAACTTGACTGATATGCATGTCCAAAACCTGCTACTATAGACAATATTAATTTCTCTCCTGGCTATCCAAGTAGGGAGGCTATATACTAAACGATCAAGTAGGATAAACCACTGGTTAGAAATACCATGAAAGAAAAGGCGTGTGTTTGGAAACACACAGATTTGCACTGTTGTGGTCTTTCCTCCAATAAATGGCTTTTTCAATGCTGTCAATATAAAAAACTTAATCAATTAGAGAAATAGAAAACAAATAAACTCTTCCAACAAATCTCAAAACCAAGCTTCACAAACTAAGACCAAAATGCCAGAATGGTAATGTATGTTCAATAGAGGTCTCAGATGAAGTAGCTGGGCGACTTCTCCCCCTGCTTGTTATGGGGAAGTTACCCAGATCCCATTGGGAAAAGCAGCAGAAGCTATACATATTAATAACTGTATAGAAAATTGTCTCCTACTAATGACTGCTTTGGAATCTGACAAAGTCTTCCAAAGCCCACGGTTGGCCTAATGTCTTTAGAAAGAAAATTGAGCATCCCTAAAAAGACACTTATGCTCCCACCTTTGTTATAAAAAACTGACAAAACTCACTTGGACTTTAACTAGGAAAGAAATCTTGAAACTGGGACAGAAAATATAATTAATACTTAAAAATGTACACAATGAAGGATAGAACCAACCTTCCAGCATTGATAATATTGAGATCAGCTCCTGAGCAAATATCTTCCACAACATAAGAATTCTCTGAGCAGGATACATTTAAGGATGTGTAGTTAGGCTTGCAAACAGTCAGGAAATATGGTGCCTGATATCCTGTTGATAGCTGTATAATATCAGTAACAAGAGCAGTAGAACAAAGACCAAACACATGAACACCTAGGAAAGAAATCAATAGAGCTTGTTAACTTTATTATATGAATAAATTAGATTTTTGTGATGAAAATCATTCAGCGGAATTCTGATGGCTTGTGTCACTGAAGAATAAGATGTGGGTTTTTTTTATGAAAGCTTATTGAAAAGCTGAATTCTTTAATGTAAAAAAATAGGATTATTTATGCTTGTTTTCTTCCTGTTGATACTTAACATTTCATTTTGATGGCCTGATGTCTTCTGACATCTATTCATAAAAGTGAACTACACGGGAGCTGCTTCAACTTGGAAAGCAGTTTTCTGAACTGACTAAAGGACAGCCAACTATTTGAGGAGAGCATATGTGCTCATCCACTCCTTGGACTGGCCCACTGAGATACAGGCTTTTAATAACACGGACAGCTGCCCATTAGATCACTGCTCTGAGGACCTGTTCTCTTTTTACCACCAGGGACTCATCAGCTGGCAATAACTTTGGCTCCCTTCACACCTCTGATATTTCTTCTGTATCAAGTCCTTGCCACGAGTCCAAATATTTAAGCCTTTCTGGTAATTGATCAATGTTTCTGTCTGGTTAACAATGCCAAATTCACAAGGCAGTTGAAGTAAATGCAATTGTTTTACTGAGCATTTTCAACTGCTTTCCCCCTAAAGATTTACCTCTAATTCCCTACTTGTATTCATACAAATACATTCATTTTTCATCTTAAAACTTAAAGAGTGCTAAAGTCATTAAAATATGAAAGAAACTGCAAATTCAGAGTGTGAATCAAGAGTGAAATTCATGCATCTTTGAGCTTGTCTTTTTTGGTGATGGAATGGGATGTTGTACAGGAGAAGTGGAGAGTGGGGGGTACCTTTACAGTTCTCCTTGCTGATGTCGTAACCTACCATCCCCTCTGCTCACTTCCTCACTGCTGCTCTTAAGAGGATGCTTTACTGATCACAGACTGTATAACCTCTCTTGGCATTACCTCCCTGCTTGCCAGACTACAGAAACCTAGTGTACAGTCCTCCTACCAGGTTTTCAGTCTGCTGTCCTGCAGGTCATCTTTGCCTAGGTTGCCCTCTCTAATGAAAGATTTCTGGAACAGAGAAAACCTTTCCTTTAGCCAGTCATTGGTAGAGGAAATTAACTGTAAGAAGGGGAACAAAGTCCAGTTGCCTTTTCCAGTTCAATTTTCATAACTGACAATTAAAACGAAGTAAACCAAAACATTTCAACATGTTTGTCTCTGTCATTAGGCTGCCAGATTCTAGCCCTTTTCCAAGAGGTAGATAAACACATCCCAGAAGAAGAATGTCAAATCTACTGAGAGTTTCTGACAAATTTTTACCGTCATGCTGAATACTGTGTCAGGTGGGTTGAGTCCTTATGATGCACTGAAGACAGGCAGGGGAAACTATACACTGAAACCATTAAAAGGAAGCCAGCTCAAGGTGGGCAGAGAAGGAAAAACAAATTATCCTTTTAGAAACACTGACAATAGCACAGGAGAGGAAAGGGAAAATGGAGAGTGTAGATGCTGCATTACTGAGTATGGGGCTGCTCTGTTGCTTCATTTGACAATTTCTTGCATTTTCTGGCAGAAGAAGATCTATGCCAGTGACAGCCCTGCACTGTTCTGAAAGGCTGTTTCAGAGAAGGAAACCTGCATGGTGAAAACTGAATGTGTACGGAAAGCTCTTCTTTGTGACTAACATTTGAAACCCACCAACAAATCTGACAGCTCTTCTAAGAAAAGAATTGAAGTTGCATCCTCCTGCATTAATATTGGCCTCTGTTCCAATCCCATTTCTTCTTTTGGACAGGCAACAGTAGAGGATTCCTTCTCCTATCATTATCTGCAATGACAAAGGAGCCGTTAAATTAGATGCAGCAGTTACTCAGAAGACACTGATCGAATTTAAAGGGCTGAAATATAACTATACCAAAACCAGCGTCATTCACTGACATGTACTCGCCTTTAAAAGATTTATATCACTATGTAAACATTCAGTAATGCAACATAACCTGAGTGAGGGCAGGCAAGAAGGTGGCACTGAAATGAATGCAAGTAGTATACAGTATACAGTGCTCAGTGTAATCTGGGTCTTGATCCACAGCTGAAATTTGATGCTTCTACGATAAAAAAGTACTAAGTAGAAAATCTTGCCTCTAAAATAATCTAGACTCACTGCAATATCTTAGTGCTCCTGAGGTGGTTTTAGCACTCAAATCTTGGCCTCCAGCCTAGCAATCCCTAGCAGCTTCTAATTATGTGGCAGCCTGCTCTTCTGTATTTGTTTAATTTGGCTTGTGTTTTAACCAGATACACAGCAATAGAAAAAGGTCTGTCCTTATGGTCCCTCTGAACATACCAAGCAAAACAGATTATGACTGAAGACCTAGACAAGAGTTTATAAAGAGAAGAATATAAAAGAAAAAGTGTTACTTGCTGAAAAATCCGGATTTATTTATACATCTGCAGTCTCAGATTTGTTTTCCTTCTTAAATAGCGCAACAACTTGGAAATCCGTACAGGGCTTCAGAATGAGGGTTGGGTTGAAATACTGAAATTAATGAGGCAGCTCTCACCACTGAGAGGAGATTCACCTTGTCTATCCCCACATGTATTGAAAACTAATATATGCAATGCGCAAAGCTTACAATGCAATGAGACACTAAAGCATCTGAATTATGCTGAACCTGCTGTAATTACCAGTGAAGTTTATACATGCTAAGACCCCCTACCCTAGGAGAAGGGAGATACAATGGACATGTGTAGTCTAACTGGTTTTTAGCTAAAGCTTTGCTAAATTGAAATTTCCTTTCTTTGCCAGGAAAATTGAAGTAGTGAAGGTTGTCTCATTAACAGAAAAATCAGCGGTAAGGGTTATTTAAGGAATTTTAATTAGATGAGAACTGTGGTCACTATTATCTGTCTGTGTTTGATCAATTTCCAGCTGAAACTTCCCGGAGAAATAAGTAGTATTTCAAACTTAAAAACCAGAGAAACTCTAATAGTTTTTAGCCAAGCTCTACGGAATGTCTGGCACAGGTAAAAACACCAGAGACATGGATTAGCTTTTGTGACAGAGGAGAAAACTGGGAAACAGAAAGGCTCATGTCAAGGAAAATTCAGAGGCTGGTATTTCCAAGGAAACAAACTCCCACAGCAGAGGAGGCAGTAGGACTGAAACTGCCAGCAGTGAATTTTGCTCCATGTGAATTGATTTCCCAAATCAATGTGATCTAATTTCCTGGTGATCTCTGTTAGAAAGCACATTGTTACCTTTCAGTAGGTTTCCAGTCAGTGGCTGATAAGGGTTTGAAGCTACATTGATATGATTAAATAAATGGTCCCAAAATTTTTGAATGATCAACTACAGAGAAAATATGTCAGAGGATTAGATTCAGAGTTCTTTGAAACAAGTGGAAGTCATGTTGCAGTTCAGGTGTATCTATATTCCAGCCATAAAATGCCCATGTTGGTAATTTTATACAAGTCCAGTTGTTCCACACTGAAGTCTCCTGTGGTTTATAAATACATATAGAAAATTTCATATATGCCACAAGCTGTAAGACATATGTCAATAATACAGGTAGCAATTTTCTGTAGCCCTTCAGAGCTACAGAACAGATCTGGTTAAAAGCAGTTGCTGCTCACTAATAACGAGCAAAAACCCCGAGGAAAAGAACCCCAAACATAAAGCCCCAAATCCACACAGATCCTTCTGTAATAATGGCTGGGGAAAATAAATTACAAAATGCTATATTTGTTATTAAAAATTTTACTATAAAGTAATAGGTTTAATATGTTCTCCAGTCTTGGGAAAAACTGACTATATCAACAAAAATAATATAGAAAAAAAAAAAGTCCTATTCTAATATTTACGTAAGGCTTTAAGGAGGGATTCAGACTGGAATTTTCTTGTCTTCTCCCCCCACCCCTTTTTTAAAATTTTTTTTACACTCTTATTTACACTCTTTGGTAATATTTAAAATGTGGCTTAATCACACCTGTATTTTATTGAGTCTTGATGACTTTCTGCCTCATACTGGAGTAAGTACCGGAACTGCAGACAGAGGCTACTATATGCTATGTTACTGGAGATTCTCAATTCCTCACATAGCTCATTCTTTCTTTTCTATATTTTACAGGTTTTATGAAGTATGTAATTCATTGAAATGCTAATGAAAACTAAATTATAAAATGCTAAACTACAAGATGACAATGGCACAATTGTAATCTTTTCGCATTGAGCTCCATTGGCCTATTTTTCCAAAGAAAAAGGGAAGAATTGGACAAAAAAACCCCTAGTTTTTTACTTCAGAAGTGGTATTGAATAATAAAGAAATGATGCTCTACACCATCTTCAGTGCTTTTTATTAAAGAAGGTTGTGTATTTTGCACTATCAGAGCCCATTCTCTGACTAACACGAGCATCACATTCATGCTCACACTAATACAAATGAACTACACCTTCCTAAGGCTTGCAGCTTTTAAGCAGTTGTATTTTGAAGCTTCAGGATTTATCTGCTTTACTAATCTTATGTTTGATAGGCATGCTCAAGTGTGGGTTTGAGTTCTTCCCATGGCATGGTTTTGGTTAGTTGTCTGTACTGCTGGTAGGAGAATGATTCAAGCAAGAATAACATTTTCTACTGCAAACTTTCATGCAATACTGAAATAATTTATCTGTAATCAAAGCCCTTAATAAACACTCTGTAAAGAAATGGGCATCTTTCATCTCAGCTGAAGGTGTTTGATATCACGTAGGCTTGGCATAAACTCTCCAAAGTAAAAATCAGTTTTCACCCCTCTACTGTGGCCCAAGTGAGCCTATATAGGTTCCTTCTATGGTTGCTTCAGGAAAGTCCACTTTGTTATCAGAAACACTGTCTAAACTTAAGAAACATAGCCAAACCGTAATACCACAAGTTGGGTTTTTTTTGTCGCAGTATTTGGTGTTTGCTGCAAGCATCTGCACCAGGAACACTGAAAGTCTTAGCTCCCAGTTCCTAAATAAGTACAATTTTTAGCCTGATGGTTGTGCAAAACCCTTCAAAAATGGTTTCCAAAGCAACCAGAATCAAACACAGTAAGAAGAGTTCAGTATAAAAAAAGATGAATAAACAAAAAACACCCTGGAAAGCAAAGAGAGAACAGTACTTGATGATTTTTATATGGGCATCCCATTTTATAATTTTGTCATTGCAAATTGGCTAGTATCATAAAAGGAATGAACTGGTTGAATTTAAGGGAATTCAGAGGAGCTGGCAGCAGAGATATGTTTGCAGCTGGCCTTAGAGAAGTGCCTAGCCGAGATGTGCAGTCATTGCTGTCAGGGGAGAGAAGAGACCCTTTCAGAAGGTTGATTCAGCTTTTTAGGTGCATGGAATCATCTACTGAAGGTGAATTTCTCTTACCATTTCCCAAACACGAGTGGTGTGAAAATTAAGCTCCTATCTGAGCTGCCTAAAATCAGACACAATGAATTCCTTCTAGTATATACATAAAGGTAAAAGTCTTTAGATTTCATTTTAATTTGACACAGCAACTCCAGCAGGGACAATACCCACCTGTATCAGTCAATTAATACATTTTTCTCTGTAAAACAGTGACCAAACTGCTCATATTCTGACAGGACATTTCTGTTCTGCTGAAATCATCTGCTCCCTTTAGGCGAGTGATTAAAGCAGCCTCCTTTTGCCTGTTTTTAATGAGTAACTTGCAATTTAGAGAAGTCCCATTGCTATTTATGAAAGTGTAATTGATTTCACTGACACAGTTGATACACCTTCTCACTAGCTAGTTCTAACAGAAGTGGCATGTTCAGGGCTGTAAATGAAAGGCTTCCATTTCAAAAAAAATCTTGAATTTTGGTGTATCTCAGAGTATTGAGATGTTCTGTCTGTAAAAGCTCAAATATTTGTACAGCATAACAGAATGATTCAAGCTATTCTCACCCACCTGTGGATGCTGTTTCTTAACATTAATGCCCCAATCAGGATCATGCGTGTAGATGAAGTGCTACAGGGAATTCTTTAAGGAGTGTGTCTCCTTCTGTTATAGAAGAACAAAACCTGAATTTAAAATCCTACGGTAATTAGCCTGGATGAACTCTGCAGCCTAGCTGAAACCAAAGGAGCTATTTTCTTTATGCCAGCTGAAACTCTGTTCAAAATCTTTAATAAGTGACAGTGGCACCTCAAACTTACCGTAATTGATGGTCCAGCAAAAACCAGACTAAGCAACATCAAGAAGGGAACAGACTCTTGTGTTGGTTCAATGTATGGCATACTCAGACTCTTGTCATAGCAATTAAATCCAGAGTGAACTGGCTTGAAGACATCAGTAAGTTCAAGAAAATAAAGGCTAACAACAGAAGATGCCAATATGGGCAACTAGAAGAGAAAAAAGCAACGAATTACTCTTTGGAAATGGAATAGCAATGCTTTTGCAAAGACAACACAGTCTGTTAATAAATCTCTGTGATATTTGCTATTTACAGCTCACTGTTCCCTGTCATATCCATTTTACCATCTTTAAATAATTAATTCTCTAGAGATACACTATTCAGTTGATATCAAATAACCCTGTTGTCTACTGAGCTAGTCAAAACACCCAATCCAATCTTCATCCCACATAATTTAGCCTTTTCATCTATGAATATTAATAGACAAACTTTGATTATTATTATTTTTTTAAAGACAAGGACTGCAGTCTCCCGTGTGGGGCCTCAGGGTTCTGCTGTTCATCACCAGCCTTTCTGGTCCTTTAGCAACCCTCTGTCATGTATATGACAGTGTTCATATCAAAGCCAGTTTGCATTAACTTTCAAAGTAACAGTTAATGAAAAACAGTATCCAGTGCTTCCCTAGAATCTAAATATGCGATAATATAGTGTTCTGCCTTCACACATTCATTTTGTAATTCATTCTATCAAGAAAGCAATTAACTTTGGGAAGACTCAGTCTGTTTAGAACCATGATGACTACGGTTCACAATTCTTTTATCCTCTAGCTATTTAGTGATTTTACCCTTTGCAATTACTTCCAATAATTTATTAAGAGTGAAGTTGGCCCCTCTGGGTATAAATTCACCCCAGCTTGCCACCAGCTCCAGAAAGCGCAGATTCAACCAGTAAGCCTCTGTGGAAGGAAGTCGTTCAAGAGAAGAAATAGCAACAAGGCATTTTGAAGCCATTGGTTTATAAGTGAACAACGAGGGCAGCCCTGCCCCAATGGTGGGCATCAGGGCATTCAGAGGTGACCAGCAACATGTGATTATTTCCTGTACCCTCTTAGTAAATGCTCCGAAATGGTTTTTGTTTGTTATTCCCAGAGTCCTCGCTGAACAAGGCAACATTAGAACAACCGCCTGCTCCTCCACTGAGATGCAACAACTCCTTCCCTGTGTCTCTACTGCAATGAAGATACCTACGGATAATACGATGTGAACTGCCTATCTGCTTCCTTTTCTTTTCTTCTTTTTAAGATGGCTATCACATTAACTTTTCCTGTTAGCTGCACTTGAAAAGTAAAAGCTTGCAACTACTAAAGAGATTCACTTAGACAGATAAAATCATAAAAATCCGATAAGGCTGTATCACATCTCTTGAGAAAAAAAACCCTCCTCTTTTACATCAAGCACCTCACATTATGAGAAACGGGGATCTTCCTAACATAATTTCAGGCATATTTAGACTATATTATCCTTGCAACGTCCAGTACACATTTACAAAAATAATTGATTAAAATCTATGTCATACATCCCATTCTACAATGGAATAAAAAAGCAGAGGTAGAACTGGATAAATAAAATCTGCTATATACGGCAGAGGGACAACAGTTTCTTGCATTAACTGGCCATTTTCAGATTTTTAAACACTGGGCTTTTAAGATGCAGACTTTTTGTGCATAAAATGTAATTCTGTGTGGTTAAAGAAGAAGGGTTCTAGCTAAATTTCACTGAAGCATTTTTTAATATGACTTAGGTTTTGCTTGAAAAGAACAGCTTATCTTTGATGTGCTGAAGGACAGATTTGAAGAGCATGAGTTGTATCTTCAAAGTGTTCTAAGCAAAATCTGCAGAAGGTGGAGAATGGAAGAATTTTACCTGTCTGGTTATCTGTGCTCAAGTTGATTGCATTGTAATGTCACGTAGTATAGAGGCTGTGATTGTGTAGAATCGGAGGGAAAGTGTACTGGCACCCCTAAGTGCTAAAATAACGCCAGGCATCTAGTAAGTCTGCTTCAGTAAGTAGTGCGTGTATATACATATATATAACCCAATATATATGTATACTGGCACTCACATACTATATTACACATACATATTATGTATAGCATGTAACATATACAATATGTAATATGTATTATGTGAATACACAATATATAACTATTATATAATCTAACATGTATGGAATAATTATATGCAATGTAACTAAATTGAGTCCTGCTTCCTGCCCATCACAGGAAGAAGTCCAAGCCTTTAGCTGGATGCATTATATAATACTACTTCTCCCCTCCTGCTGGACACAGTCCCTAATTCACTATAATGCCGGCATGCATGATTAGTCAACATGGGCTAGACTGTTCCTAGTCATTATACAGACGTGCAGGGATGAAAGAGGACTTCCCTAAATTCTTCATAGTCTGGGAATAATTAAGATTGTTGTGGAACTGGGTGCCCTTCTCTCCACACCTGCCTGCACAGAGACTGTGGAGCTGTTTGGGTTGCAGGGCCTCCTGACCAGAAGGCTGGCACAGTGCATGCTGCCCTGGTACACAGGGAGCTTGCAGCGAGTCTCTGCTCTCTTGCTGGGACACCGAAATTCTGCACAGCATTTGAACTCACACGTATTGCAACTTCACTTCTGCACAGCACTGAACTCCCACAACATTGCAACATTTGCAATGCCTTTTATTATTAATTATTTGAAAGTCATACCTAACAACTCAGCCAGGGTCCAGATCCCATGGGGCAAAGCACCTCATAACAGGACACAAACCTATTCCAATGAGCTAAATGCACAAAGCAGGCAGAGTGCCTATTGCCCTTCTTTTCAGAAATTATGCCCTTTTGTCTAGGTGTCCCCAAAGGTTCATTTCCTAGAATGGAAGCACAGAGCAGGTAGACTCATGGAACTCCATGGAATTGCATGGAGCTTCATCTTCATTGTGTATTTTTCCATTTCTCTAATGCCAAGAAAAGGAAAGCCTCTCCTCGAACAAAGGGCTCATGGGCATTACCCACAAGTCCACCTTGACTTTCACTATGGTATTCTTAGGCAGGCAACTGTTTCAAATGGCAATATCAAACTATCAAAAATAGGCAATACATAAAGTGATATTTTATTGTGAGACACTAAAATAAAAGATGAGGATAGCTTTTTTAATTTAAATACTACTTTTTTTTTTGCATAGTACTGTAGGTAAGCTGTAATTTTATTGTTAATTGCAAAATCAAGGAATCGTAAGAATTGCATTTTAGTGTCTTATGACTTCACTACAGGACTCCCATATTATTTCTGACTGTAATTATTCATTCTGCTAAAAGAAAAGAAATAATTCTAAAGGACTACAAACCTCCAATGTAACTGCTTACAATAGTAATGAATAGGTTTACAGTCAATTTGCTATAAACAGTATGTCAGATCCCACAGGACATTTTTCTTCCTATCTTTTTTAAAACACAAATACAAAATGCATCTTCTATAAGTAACTGTTCTTTAAAAAAGCAAATGTTTCTAAAATCATCTAAACAGTATAACTGGCTATTTAATATATGAATATTTATGGAGTGTTCTGCTTAAGGCAGCAGTAGTTCTGTAATTATAGACTTCAGTTCCCAACACCTTGAAAATGTCACATATAATTAGATGGTAGAATGTGTATTGTTTTAATTACAAAATGGAATAGGAATTTTCCTGTTCCTAATTAGAATAATAAAACCCCCAACCTCAGTTCACATATCTTGACTAATAAGTCTTTACACTCTTGCTTCCTTGGCTGACTAACGGAGAAAGATTCCTGTTTAGCTTGTAATTTAGACCTGTAAATGTAGAGTTTGACGCAAGTGGTCAAATTCTGTTTGGCTTAGAGTCTTAAAGTCAGGACCATAATCAGTATAGCTGCTGAAAAGGTTTGACTTGAGGTTTATTTATTTTCTTTAAAAAATTTTTTTTTCTTTCTACTCCTGTTATTTTCTTAAACTGTAAGTTAAAAGCCTTTATTAAGCCATAGGACTTTGCTATTAATAATAATTAATGTTATTAATATTTAAAAAGATTTTTCTGCATTGAGCTAGGAATTGTCCAAGCATAAGAAAAGATGTTCTCTATTCCCAAGAGCTCAACAAGGATACCTATTACCCAGAGATCTTGTAAGGAGAAAAATAAAAGGTGAAAACCTCCTGTATGTTACATAGCACAGGACAAACCACGAGAGCATTTGGTAGCACAATAACTTCTCTGATGAGATACATAACAAATCTTCCCACTGACCAAGAGCCACAAGGCATATATCACATGTTGCAGAGAACTGAAAGCAGGGATGGCTGTGAGAGGAGTTCAGGGGTGGGAGATAACAGTTCTTCAGGTTCCCCATCACTCTTCTGTGGGACATGCTGTGATTGCTCCTGAGGCCGTTTTGGGGTGCTCCTGCTTTACTTGTGAGGATTAAGATTATCCAGGACCCACAGTGTCAGCACAATTTTTTATTGGGTCATATGATACACCCTATGCATGGAAGCCACGTTGGTCCTCCCCAAAACCCACCAGGCCCAAACTTGCTGGGAATCCCCCAGCAAGATGGAACCACTTCTGTTAAATTTCCCTATGATTAATTAGTTTTCCATGGCTTCGAATGCATGAAAAGACAAACCTGTAGCCCACTAAATACAGTATTGTTGTTGCAACTAACAAGCCACAGATTTTGTACTGAATTTGCAAGGAGTCAGGACTGGGGCTTGTCAAACACGCTTTGTCTGCACTTGTCTTGACCTGCCTAGAGCTTTGTTTTTATTTGGTTTAATTCTAACAGCAGGTTTTCTAATGACCTTAGAAATTAGGCTATGCCTAATGTGTTTTACTTTCATATATCTTTGTATGGTACAACCCTGAACAATTTTTGTATCTATATCTAGTAGGAACAAGTAGTAATTCTGTATAAAATGAGCTACTTATGCCTCTGGTGTAGCGCACCCCAAATTCTTTGTGAGGACCAGTATGACGCTGATGGTG